TTATCTTTGCTCCCCGGAAATGAACCGGAACTGAACCGAAAGCCGAGCACCCGAACCGGAACCGAACCTACTAAAATGTCAGTTCGGCACTGGTTCACGCCAAATGCCGACGCAGCCGGCGTGCTCAATACGGCAAAAGAGTACATGCTCAAACAATGGTGGACTCGGATAACTGACTCAGCAGGTACTAGAAGGTGCGCTGTTAAAAAGGGTCTGTTGAGAGAGTACGCGGCGTTTCCATTGGCCCCGTAAGTGATGACCTAACACCATCGCGCTGTGCTTCAAACATATCGTAACTAGGACCGTTGTAATGGACATGTAGAGATCAGATTAAAAAAAAACAGCGCAAAGACGAGGACAAAGTAAAAAGTAACCAAGAGGACGCAGCTCTGTGCATTTTCGGTCACCTTTTACTTTGTCCTTTTTGCGCTGCTTTGTTTTTAATTATATCTGCATACCAACTAGCCCAAACTTCTACGTTAATCAACATATAGAGGCTCGTTACCCTGCACGTATAACGTTATATTAACAATATTTGCAAATCAACAACTATTCGAACAATGTTCGAAGAAATCTGGTGTAAATGTTGCTTTGAAGCTCACGCGGCTCTCGTGACCGCTTCGTCTTCCTCCTTGGGATGGTCACTAGAAGTACTCCCTCCCTTTAGTAAAAACGCGAAGATGACAAGCGTTTTCTTTAGCTTTTGTGGTCGTTGTTTTGAAAAGTTACAGCATGAAACTACTGGTACTGCCGCTGTGTAGTTGTATTCCAACGGAACGAGGTCTTTGAAGCAGTGTTGTTTCAGGCACACAAAAATCGGTGTCGAGATGAGCAGGCGTCACTCGATCTAACAAAACGACTCTTTTGATACCGTTATCAGCGGCATCAGAGTTTTGTCACTGCGTTGTAGAAATGCCAGAGCATCGTACATCCATCATCTGGTCAGCCATATGAGTCAGTGTGGCGAGCGACTGTTTCGCTGACCTACCGAGAATCATTCACACTTGGGTCGGGAGTCGTTGGAGAATGAGCTCTCTATTGAAAATAACATTTCATCCCTGTTGTGTTACGGGACGCTCTCAGCGCTTCAAAGCCTTTCAGCCCATCATACCCCTCCACCCTTCAAACCCCGTCACCCTTCAAACTCCTTCAGCTCTTCAACACTTTAGACGCCCAAATCACTGTGAACATAGACAAAAAATGCAGTTTAAAATGTTATTAGAAGTTCATTTCAGACATTGAGTTTTACATGCACGTTGTGACTTAAAAATATGATAAGAGCCAACCTGTACTCAAATCCGGGCGCAAGATGCTGTAGACAAGAGCGATCAGACCAAACAGAGACAACCAATTCCTTTGTAGGGGAAAAATATTTCGAGGTACTCACAACGCAACTGGTAAGTTCCTGAGATGTACGGTAGTACATCTCAGAAACTTACTAGCCTTTTGTACTGGCCCTTCTTTCGAGCTCTGCCCGAAAGATAATAAAGGAAAAAAAGTTAAACTACAAAAATTGAGCAGGTACACCACATGCACATACGCAAACTCTCAGCAGCATGTTTAGCAAAAACCACGAACGCGAAACCAACGTCCGCCGCCGTTGACAAATCCTGAGCACAGTGACGGTTTCGTTCCTGGTACCGTCACGGTGACGTATCTGGCGTCTTTATCTCTCGCTGGATGAACTTCTAAAGCCGGATAGACAAAGGGCGCAAGGAAGAAGGCACTGAGAGCCCTTCGTGATGCGCACGCTGAGCTGCTCTAGAGGTCCCACGCATGGGACGAGAAGCCGACACTAAGCGTCCGCTCGTTGTGGCCGTCCGATGTAAAGTCGCCAAGCGGCTCCCGGACGCATATATCCTAAAGGGTCAGGGGATCCCACCCATAGACCCGTTAAAACGATTTCGATGAGTGCTGTGCTTTCACGGAAAAGATTGGGACAAACCCCACAGACCTCTCAAAAAACTATGACGGCTCACTTACTGTTAAACTTTTCAAAAATGCATGAAGGGTACGTCAGGCCCCTTAGAAAATTTTGAGAGACATCTTGAAGCCCTCAACAGTGTTTGAAGGGTGCATCAAAACATTTCAGAAATCCTGATGGGCCCTATAGACGGTTTTCCAATAGGGCTCGATCATGATCGACGTGTTCATGTTGTCACTTGGTCTCCGAGGAGTTTTTCCATGCTTCAGAAGAACTCGGTGAGTTTTCCATCGCCCAACACCTCGTGCACTCTGAGAAAAAATATGGTCTCAAAGGACTAACGGCAGCATTTGGCCCTCTGAACTCCCATTTGCTCCCTAAACAGAAAATCTGGTTCGAGCTAGGTACCGTTCGCAAATGCTGAGGACTAACTGCACTCGAGCGGGACTAACCGAAAGGCGCGCGAGAGAAAAACAGCTGCGGGAGCAAAAGCGCTGGAGAAAAAGCAGCGAGAGGCGCGAGGGAGCAAAAGCGTAGGAGCAAAAGATGCGCGGACAAGATGGCGGCGCCTGCTGCATCGCCGATGGCCAGAGTTAGCGAAGCACTCATTTCTTCAGAACGCCCAGACAATCACAGCTGACTTTATAACGATGATAGCCTCTGGTCCAGCACCTCGTGGAAGCCAGCACTGACTCGAGCACGCCATTGTTGATCACTGGTCATGCGGCGTTTGACCGTTGTCCTGGCGTCCTTCCCCTTTGCATTATTTGGAACGTGCTTTGAAAGCGTTTATATTTTCTTTTTGGTTTAACTGGGATAAAAATAGCCACTTAGCACGTGGTAAAACCGTTTCCAAAGACAAAGAAGGTTCATTTTATTTTATTTTCTTTTGGCACTCTTTAAAATCTGTTGTTTTTTCGCGAGAGACGATGCGGTTGCCAAGGAGAAGCGCATGCGCAAAGTGGTGCAGTCTATGTGGGAAAGCGAGAAAATGGCTGCCGAGAGTCTATGAGGGCGCTGTTTTATAGACTGTCACTAACAGTGTGTACCGTTACTTCTTAGTAAGAGGTACACTCATTGGAAGGTTTAGCAACGATATTGGAGAACAATATTGGTGCTAAAGCAGAACCATATGTGTTACATCGTTCACGGTTGAGATGGTCACTGACCAAACGACTCCTTTCAAACGATCAGTATAAAAGGCGCATGAGTAGCGTTTGGGGGTAGCGTTTGGATTAGTGTGGATTCTATTTTCGAATACCGAAGCGAACGAACGTGGCATCATGAGCTCCCATGGAGCGGCTTCAGCGGCCCTCGCAGGCCGCGGTAACAGGGCTGAAGACAACACTCAGGACTACAACGTCCTCCTGCCTCCTTCGCCAACCGGGTCAGTGATTTTAAACGTCTTTGTTCATGCGGTCGTGAAGGGTCGGCCGTACCATGTCGAGGACTTTGGAGACGCCTTTATTCGTCTGGCTTTGATTTCCCAGGTCTTGGCCCTCGGGGCTTACAAGATGAATCACGTGTAGGCAGTAACGTTTATGAATGACGAAGGCAAAAAAATTACCGCATCTTCACATGGTGCATGATGTTGATTGGGGCGAAGCTCGGGTGGTGCTGATGCTACTGATTTTGGTCATAGGTAGTGCTGATGGTGCCGTTTTCATTCATATCAGTAGGAGAATGTGTGGTTTTCTTCTTTTTCTTTTTTTAAGAAGACAGATGGGATGGCAACTCAGAACCCCCTACTCGTTTTTTTTTTCTTCTTTTTTTTTTAATACTGGTTTTGGTCATAGGTAGTGCTGATGGTGCCGTTTTCATTCATGTCAGGAGAAGAATGTGCGGTTTTCTTCTTTTTCTTTTTGTAAGAAGACAGATAGGATGGCCACTCAGAACCCCCTACTTTTTTTTTTTCTTCTTTTTCTTGATACCGATTTTGGTCATAGGTAGTGCTGATGGTGCCGTTTTCATTCATGTCAGTAAAAGAATGCGTGGTTTTTTTTTTCTTTTTTTTAAGAAGACAGATGGGATGGCATCTCAGAGCCCACTATTTTTTTTTTCCTTCTTTTTCTTTTTTTATATTTTTTTTTCTTGCTCTCGCTGCTGAACTTACGAGCTCACGAGCAGGGGCACGCCGGACGGCGGACGGACATACGGACATGGCTAGCCCCTAAGGAGCTTCGCCCCTAAAAGAAAATGCTGAAAACGTCGGAGCTGACGGTCAAAGGTCGCCGATGCATCATTATCGACCCCAGCCACCAGGACGTTCGCGTCAAGCTTCATTAGCTGCTCTTTAGAGTCGCCAACGGTGATGTGAGAGAGGCCCTGGCGCCGTACGGCAAAGTCATCGAAGCGGTTAGAGAAAAGTGGCGTGTCGACGGCTGCCAGAGCGTTGGCACCATGACGAACATGGCGGTACTTCGGCTCAAGGGGGGCATCACCTGCGACGACATCCCGTACCAGTTTAGGGTGGGCGGAGAGCTAGCCCTCGTCGTCGTGTCTGGAAGAGCTTCGCTTTGTCTCCGGTGCCAGCAGACGGGGCATATCCACAAGGAGTGTCGTGTTCCGCGATGCAACGTCTACCGTCGTTTCGGTCACGAAGGTGCCCACTGCGTCCGAACGTACGAGGCGGCTGCTGCGCCTGCGGGGGGCCTGGGGAAATCCGAATTCCTTATGGATGAGGACGACACCGAGGAGGCTGCCGCGGGCTCTACAGTCAAAAGAAGCCCTGTAGCGAACGCTCTCCCTGCGGCCGAGAACGTGGCGGGGACGAACACGAATGATGCGTCGCCAAATGCTGGCGAGACGGTGAACGCTGGGCAGCAGGAAATGGTGGCGACGGAAGCGCCTGTAAACTACACCGTCCGGTGTTGAGAGCATCATTGCCGATGCAGTCAACAACCAGCCGGCAGTCGACGTCCCCATGAACGACGCAGAGAAAATGGCGAAAAAGACGCGGAAAGAAAACGTCGCAGTCCCCACAAATTCGGAGCAGGATGACCTGGACAGACTTCTTTTCACGCCTATCCCACCACATGACAGTGGACACGGGTTGTGCACCGGCAAAGGTACTTGCGGTTTTCACCGATCGGTTGTCATACCACTTGACAACGATCACCTTCTGGTTATCCACCACTGCCTCGTACTCTTCTGCACTTCCTCGTCCTCTCTTGCGGAGTTCTGTGTCCGAGGCCATTTTGCAACCCTGCAGTCGATTTGCACGCACAGTACCAAGGGCATATCTGCCTCTTTGTGCCAAAGTCACGAGAAGCTTCAGAGACGTGAACCAATTGCCAAAGTACAGAAGGTGGCCCAGTTGAGGCTGCACGCACTGAGCCAGTTTTATGACGATGTTACCACTTGCCCCGATGTCAGGAAAACCCGGCACTTGATCGATGTGGCCAGTGTACACGTCAAAAGAGTGTACAACACCCCTGGAGTCACAAAGCATGAATATTTTGTAACCCCACTTGTGAGGCTTCTTGGGGAGGTATTGCTTGATGCTGGAGTGCCCTTTGAAGGGAACCATCTGTTCGTCCACACAGAGGCATTGTTCCTGAGGAATCTCTTCGAATTTCGGGAGCAGCATCTCGAGAAGCGGGCGAATCTTGAACAGTCTATCCTTCGGGGAGCTGTCGGCTGGTGGCATGCTGAGGTTGTCGTTGAAGTGCAGCGAGGATTTGATCTCCTCCCACCTGTCGCGCGTCATAATATCGGCCACAACTGGTGGTCTGCATTCAGCTGACCAGTACAAACGGGATCGTGGTAGCTGGAAGATCGACATGTAGACAGTGCAGCCTTGAAACTGCTCAAGTTCCACCCGGGACAAGGCTAGAGGCTTATTCGGGTTTTGCTGTACTGCATAAAGATTGCTCTGCTGCACAATTAGATTGAACACGTTGTCGTCGAAGAATCCCTGGAAGTACTCGATTGGGGACCTGACGGCCTCGCTCTCATGCGCAGCGCCTTCCCACTGAGGAACGTCATTACTCAGAGATGAAGATGTTTTTGACCAGTGCACTGGCCGATTCACTCCTTTCGAGGAAGCTGGCACCGATTCTTCTTCTTCTTCACTTTCTTCGCTTGTGTCATTATCGGGGGGTGCGCTGAACTGTTGGGGAGGGTTGTAGTCCGCATCCTCATTGTCAGTGTCACTTAGGCAGCTGTCGTCGCTTCCGTCTTCGGGTGGTAAACGCGTCCTACACAGAATTTTCTTCTTCCCATAGAAGGGGCGAGCTTCCATGACCTACAATATATAAAGTATGGCTCATTGAAACTAAGTGGTAAGCCAGAAATATTTTTTGTTTTAGATTAGCCAAACTGCGGCTTGCAAATCGCTGAATGCCGAGTGTCGCGAATTCGCGACAAAGTGAACAGAACATCTTATTTTCTGAAAGATCTCAGTATTAAAAGGATGCGTGCCTTGTACAGTTAGTTGGGACCACATTTAAGCTAGAAACAATTTTAAAACGACAACTTACCTCTCGATTACGCTAGAAGGACAGCTGGGAATTCGAAAACCACGTGCTCTGAAATCTTGTCCACCGGCAAAAGTTGTTTACGGCGCAAAGTACACCGGGCGGCCGACAGATGGCGCAAGCATACCGTGGCGCTTCGGTAGGTACGTCGCGATTTCGCGACAGTCGGCGCGGGGCTCATAGATGACGGAAAGATTTTATACAGTGGACCAGGGCCGTACCCAGAAAAAAATTTCGGGGGGGGTTTTCGGGGACAACGGCGGCCATTTTGAAAGTGTCTATTGTCTTATTTTCGCCTATGAATCATGTGCATCGGTGGCATATAATAGAGAGTTACAGCAAACCGGAGAACCGGTCCCGGTTTGGTACCCGGTAGCCGACCGGCGCCACTGCGCGTGCGCAGAGGTGGAGATTAAAATCGGCTGGCTGCCAGTGCACCGACCAGGGCCGTACACAGAAAAAAATTTCGGGGGGGGTCAGAACCCCCTAACCCCCCCCCCCCCCCCACCCTGGTTACGGCCCTGCAGTGGACTAAGTGGTATGTCGCGAATTCGCGCTGAATTCCACCTCTCCACTTGAGCATCGAAAAAGTCACTAGCATGCTAAATGTGACAAAATCGAAACGTGGAGCACTTCGATCCTATGCCTTGTGAAGCAACCTAGAGTCGAAAGAGGTGCGAGGATGAGTGAACAGAGTTTCATATATCGATTGAGTCGCGAGTGTCTGGAGTGTGCTCCGGGTTCTGACATTCCGCGTGCTTTTCGATCAAGTGCTTTGCAGACTGGAAGGACCAGAGTGCATTCTGGATTTAAGCGTTTTGTGCGATTTTCAGTAGCAGTACCATTTCTGATTGTTGAAAGTGTCTTTCGAGCTCGCCTCAGTTCGGGCATTCCGTCGAGACCCTCCATGTGCAAAGTTCTTCAAACTTGCATGGATCTATTCAATGGTGTAACTGACAAGTAATGATTTGGAGCAGCTCATGTAGCAGGAAAATACGGGTTTTGGAGCAGACAATTGTGAGCTTTCATGTCAGAAAGTTTTATACAGCCTCTTTGAAAGTTAGCCCGTAGAAAAGACTGCAGTTGTTCGAGAGTTGGGAGACTACTGTGTTATGACTACAGAAGAACTGCCCTCTACAGGTATTTATTTATTTATTGGACAACCATAGGCCAGCAATTTTGAAGATGTCTCAATTAACCTTTTAGGGGTACGGATGGCGTCTTCGGTCTGTGTTTGACGTAAAAAGATGTTTTTGGCTACTTTGTAGAGCGTTTGTATCACGGTGATGTAATCGCCGCGAGTTCGACATCAAACGGACACTTTTGTGCTGAATGTGTCTCACACTGCCTTCGCTCATATTCAATCTGCAGCTGTTCATAGAGCAGCTAAATGGAGCATATAGCTACTCTAACCGATCACAGGGACGAGTACCAGCTATTCATCGCAATCAATGTAAGCACCGTTTGCAAAAAAAAAAAAAAAAAAAGAAAAAAAAAAAACGACAGTTCTTTGTTTGGCATCTGCAAATAATGGATTTTGGGTTCGAAGAGAATTCGAGCATAGCAACCCAAATCTTGTTTTTTTTTGTTTTTTTTTTTGTTTTTTTTTGTCTACTGCAAAGGGCAGAAAAAGTTATACTTTTCCAAACCACCCCGATTTCCGTGCTTTCCTTTCAAACTTCCCCTGCCTAATTTTCACACTCCCAAAAGAGGCCCTATGTTTTCATAAACCAGAAATAAAAATAAATCAGCAGTTATAACAAACAGATGCAGATTATAATATCTATAAAAAAAAGCAGAGGGGAAAACCTTTAATGGCCTCCTTGGGTTTGATATAGAACGCATGTTATTAAATCCCCTGTGAGCTCAAGATATCCCCCAATATTTGCTTACCGTAAAATCCTGAGAGAGAGCCCACCCAATATTAAGAGCAAATCGGCTGAGAATATGGAGTGGGCTAACTTTCAGTGTACAATCAAGAAAAGTTTTTAAAAAATTGTTATTTTTAAGTCGTGCCCATTCCAAGCTTGTTATGGAGGCGAGTGGCAACGAAGCAAAGAATATTGTACTTTCAAGTCAGCAATGTTCGCTTATATCCGACCATAGCGAACTAGCCACATTTACGCCGAGGTCATTATTGACCCAACACTACTATTACTAAAAGTGGGCTAGCTTTCAGTGTTTAAAAAAAATAGCAAATCAAGCCAAAAATAGGGTTAGGCTTTCGTTTGAGGGTGAGGCTTCTTTAGGGATCTTAGGGTAGTCATTAAACATTTTTTTATTTGATTCCGTACATTACCATGTCTACTTTTAAGCTGCTCAATGTCCATAGAGTGTGTAAAAGGCCAGTACTAGAAGCCGTTTACAGACAATTAGATTCTAATCTTTTCCATTACTTTTTTTAAATTTTGCAACAAAAAAAAATACTAAGCAAAGAAATGTTTACATGAAACATCACTGTGAATACCAAACAAAATCATAGGTCTTAGTATGAGCACTGAATTTCTAGATGACAAAAGTAAGGTTTAGTCTCAGATTCCCAGCCACTTAGTTCGCTCTGAATCACATGGTTTCCATGAAGCGAACCGTTAAAATGCACTCAAACTATTTTTGAAACTCTAAAAAAATTGCAAGGCACGCAAAATTTGTTGGAATGTACAGTATGGCACCTGATGCGTCCCCCATGTGACACATAATGGCTCGCACTGTTATCTGCATAAGGGTGATTTCAGATAAGATCGACCAAAGGATGGCTAGTCGACATTTTCAAATCAACTGATGTTTTTATATGTTATTGTCTAGTGTCTGGTATGAACGAATCCAAACTTAGTTTTGACTAGAAAAAATACTTGGGGACAGGAAAAATCGTAAGACATGAGGTGGTGGACAGTTGCATTAACGCGCACTGATGGAGGGGGCCCGTTTGAGAGTGAATAACTAAAGCGATAACATTAGGAGAACTCTAATACGTTTTAGGCGCAAACTATGGGTATAGCTTGCTTGTAATATAAAGTAATCATATTTATTTAACATTTATTTATTTTTCTAAAAATTGACAAACATGCCTGCTCGAACGACAAATGGCAAACTGGAGGTCTGTATCTCATGAAATAATTTAATCATTATGATATAATTTGCAGATATTATTCTACTAATATATAGCTAATATTTAAAAAAATAACTAAGGTATCTGTGTGATACAATAGTTAGGATATATTTAGTCAAACATGGAAAAAAAATCAAACAAAGAAAAATTCCGATGCGAATAAAAAAAAAACACCACCCTCGATTTTTTTTAAAATTTAGGTAACCTGTTATACTCTATTTCGGCATTCATTTACATTAAAAACATGTTGCATCATTGTATTGAGAAAGAAGATACAACTCCCCAAAGTAGGGTCCTTTTTCAAAGCCTACACTTAGCAGTGTTTTATACAAGAACTGACTCTGAGTTCCAGTTTCATGAAACCAACACACATCTTTTATATATTTTTATTCAGATGAGGCCAATGATAACTAAAGAAATCGTTCACACACTTAAATTAAGGAGAAACTACTGTGTACAAAGAGGTATCATATTACGGACTAGTGATGCGAGAAAAGATCATGCAGCCATCGGCCACTAGGAACTTTGTTTACTTTATTCTCCTGCAACACTATATGCTATTCCCTCTTCCGCTCTACCTTCATCTCTCTCTCTCTCTCTCTCTCTCTCATATATATCCCTGACATATATCCAGAACAAAAACATGTTCAAGCATTCCCTTTTTGCGTGGTAGTGTTCTGTGGCTAGCAAAAATCATTTCCTCGCTAAGCTCACGATTATGGCAAAATAGTTGCCGGAAACCGCAGACGACACTCGTCGCTAGTTCTGGCAAAACGGCCGATACAATCTTTTTTTCGCATTTCCCCGCTCGCTGTCAAGGACAAGGGGGTTCGCTTCAACCAGCAAAACATGGCCGCCGACGCCTGTTTACTGAGCAGTCATGCCTGTCGCCATCTCACTCGCTGGCGTCACGGGCGATAATATCAGGCACAAAGGGGCCCATCAACTGGCAGCATTATCCCCAAATACTCGAGCCTCGCGTAAATACATAGAGTGTAAACGCTGCCGCCATGTTATCGTAGTAAGACCGCCCCCCCCCCCCCTCCCCCAACGGGGGACTGCAGTACGCGACGGCGTACTAACACAACGGCGACGATATCGACATCGCGGGCTCCGAATTTTCCCATAGTTCTACTCCACGGGCATTTCTCGAAACGCTTGATATTGTGTACGCCCGCCTGGAAGGATTTCAGGCGCGTAGTTAAGATAAGGCGGTTCTCCGCGGCAAAAGAAAGCAATTTTACAAAAGCTTAAAAGCGGCGGCGACGCGTGTGCGGTGAACGCTTGTAGTTTTGGTGTAGACAGGGTGTGTGTGTTCTCGTTGTTGACACCAGCCGGCGATAAGGCACTGCAGGCGGTAGCTCAGTACAGCAAGGGCTAATCCGAGTGACCATCAACGTAACCCCACTGCCAACCCCTCGCGAACCGGTCGCCGACATGGCTCAGGCTGTGTCATGAACCACGTGGTAGAAGCTCGGGTGCTTTCATATCAGCGCGTGGAGGGACGAAGGTGCGATTCCGGAAAGTCTTTTTCGAAGGCCGCTGACCACAATTTTTTGTCTGGAGACTTTCCCTCTTTCTTCCTTTGACGTGGATCAAGCTTTGCCGACAGCCTCAGTTGTGACCTCTCTTTTCAAATGTACGTTTGCAGTGAGTGAG